GGCGGTCCGGTCCCCCCAATCCAAAACGCCCCCCCCACAGGAGTCAAGGAGGATTTCCTGGAAGTCCTGCTGCAAATGCCCGCCATCCTTGATGTGAGGCATGAGGGGCAACGCTGGAGGCCCTCACCGTGGGGCGGTCCCCCCAATCCAAAACGCCCCCCCCACAGGAGTCAAGGAGGATTTCCTGGAAGTCCTGCTGCAAATGCCCGCCATCCTTGATGTGAGGCATGAGGGGCAACGCTGGCGAGGAGGCCCTCACCAAGGCTCTCCCTCCCCTCAGCCTCTGGGAGGAAGGGGCCACGGGGGGGCAGAGCCCACCTCCCTCTACTCAGCCACACACGCCCCCCTCCATGTGCCCTCTTGCCACAGACGCGCCGGTCACGCTGGGGCCACGTGGAGGGAGAAGGGAGGGTCCCGTTCCCCCTTCTGGCTCGCTCTGCCTCGGGATCCGTGGCAAGCGCCTTGAAGGGCTTCAACGCCAGGGCTGCTCCCGTGGCACCCTTACCCGGGCATCCACAGGGCACGGCTTCACCAAAGAGCTGGGGAAATAACCCACTTTCTTGGACGAGATGAGCCTCCCCTGGAAAGAAAAGAGAGGGTGAAGGAGGGCGAGAAAGAGAAGATGGATCCAAGGAAGAGCATCTCCCCCCCGCCCCCCGCCCCCCCGGGGCAACCCTTTCATCCTGGTTCCACTGAGAAGATCAGCGGGGGGCCTTTCCGCTTCCCCTCAACAGCACAGGATCCCATCCACAGCTCCTCTGTTCTGGAAATCAGACAGCTTTCACTCTTTGAACAATGTTGGAGGCAAACATGGCTTGTTGTTATCTCTGTTTTCTAATGACAGGCTGTGGTGGGTTTTGTTTGTTTGTTTGTTTGCTCAAATGGAAAGGCCTGATCTTGGTTCTTTAACTTCAGGTCCACGTGATGTCTGTGTGGGGTGAGTTTCATGAAGACAGACTCACAGCTTGAGGTCAAACCCCCCCCTTCTCTTAAGGGCCACCTGAACTTGACTGTTTCTTATACAGAAGAAATGATGGGCTGTGAAAACATTGAGGACCAGGCTTGTCCTTGTGGGTGATGGGAAGTTCTAGAGGCGCGAGACGTGTTTCGTCAGGACCTCTTGGAACATAGCAGAAGGCCCCAAACCACTCAGAGCAAGAGGTTTCCCCCTGAAATCCCCAGGGGGGAGCCCCTTGTGCCCCCCGGGCGAACCGAGGACATGCCCAGGCGAAGAATTCTGGAATCCGGCATGGACGGATTCTGCTCCGGAAAGGATTGCATAACCTGCTCCCCCTCTCACCCCTCTTGTGTGTCACCACCTTGTGGTTTGCAAAAGACGGTGACTACCTGGATAGGAGAATGAAAGCTAGACCCCCTCTTGGAGTTGGAGGTCGAGATGAGGGGGGGGGAAATCGAGCACTCACCTCCCACCACGGCGACTCTGGGTCTCCCCTGAGCAACTCAATGACCTCCCCAGCCTGGAAAGTCAGGACCGATTTCCCCGGAGGGGCTGGGCTGCCATGGTAATTCTGGACCGCCACCATTTTGGGACCTGGAAGGGAAGTGAGAGAGGAGGAGACCGCGCTGGGGCTGAGATCCGTCACGCCCTGAGAAGGCCCACTGAGTCAGTAGGGATTTGGGGAGTCAGTGCCTCAGTACGTTCCACTGAGTCAGCGGGCCTACTCTCGAGGTGACTCAGAACTGGATTTCAACCAATAGTTTCCAAAGACATCAGAAGACCACCAGCACCTGCACTGTCAAGGCAAAAGGTGGATCAGGGGCTTCTTGCTTAAAGAACTGGGTGTTTAGAGCAGCCCCGGTTCTTAGCCAGGCAAGTGTTTCTTAAAAATCCCCGCCCACTCCCCGAGTCTCCGCTCCTTATGCTTTGGGTCTAACTCCATGACCAGAGCCCCCTCCCCACCTGCTCAATCCCCAAACAAGCATCCTGGAGCAGAACGGAGCAGCCGTAATAACGAACAACAACAACAACAGGAAGAGGAGACTCACAATCTTACCTACATTGAGTGACTCCTGTTGAGAGAAAGAGAGAGAGAGAGAGAGAAATGCTTTCAGATACAATACAATTGCTTGCAAAACACTCTTATGATTGGAACAGGTGCCCAGATTTTTGACATGTGAGTTCTGCCAAGAGGCTTAAGCATAGCAGGGTGCTGGGGTGCACGCGCAGGTAAAGTCTTTTGAGCACCCTTAGCAGATTGCTCTGTGCGGTTTTGTGCGGGCGTCTGGTTTCGGGAGGGTCAGGAGGCAGAGAGATCCTTTGGGAACGTGTGCCCACCCACCCCTTTCCTCTTTCAGCATAGGTAAAGGTAAAGGTTCCCCTTGACATTTTCAGTCCAGTCGTGTCCGACTCTAGGGCGTGGTGCTCATCCCCGTCTCCAAGCCATAGAGCCAGCATTTGTCCGTAGACCGATTCTGTGGTCATGTGGCCAGTGCGACTAGACAAGGAACGCCATGACCTTCCCACCGTGGTGGTCCCTATTTATCTGCTTTTTAACGTGCTTTCAAACTGCTAGGTTGGGACAGGAGTTGGGACAAGTGATGGGAGCTCCCTCCGTCGCATGGATTCAATCTTACGACGGCTGGTCTTCTGACCTTGCAGCCCAGAGGCTTCTGCGGTTTAACCCGCAGCGCCGCCACCACGTCCCAGATCTTTCAGCATCCCCTCCCCCAATTCTGCACCAGTGGAAACTACGGGACCACCTAATGGAAGCCACGACACCTTTCCCAGAGAGAAGATGGTCCTTTTGGGGAGAAAGGTGGAACAGGAAATATCTTAAATAAACCAATAAAGATGCTAAAAAGCCACACAGCTTACCTGGTCAGCAGGAGAGCCTGAAAGTTAAAATGAAAAAAAGGGGAGTCACTGTCCCGCCCACGCCACGAGGGACCCACGAGGGCCTGACTAGGTAAGTGGGTGTGCAGGACACACCTGCGCTGCCAGCCCCACCTGGAGACGGGGCCCCGCTTGCTGCGCTAGGGGAGGGGACTTACTGATTTTGCAGGGGGGGATGATCTCCAGGCACTCCTTGTGGGCGCCGGTTTTGCACTTCATACATTGGTAGCCTTGGTAGAAAGTCCCCCTGGGGAAGGAGAAGGCGGGGAGGGTCTTTTTCCCTCTGGCAGGAACGGCCGGGTCTCCACCCCTCAACCAGGCCAGCCACGTAGACCCTGGCCGCCCCCACCCGGCCACCCAAGGTTTGGTGGTGTGGGGGCAAGCGAAGGCAGCACATCCCATGGCCGAAATTGGAGGCAAAGGGACCTTGGTGTCCTGGAGGGAGGGGATAGTGGGGGAGGGGACTTCCTCTTTGATGCATTCCGGGGGGAGGGGCTTGGAAACACGCCTTGCCAAGGCTCCTTTGCCATCCTTGTTACGCTCCTTGGGACCCCCTTAAAAAGACCCCATCGATCAACCGTTGAAGCCTGATAGGACTTTACCTTAAAAACATCTTGCAGGCTTTGCAGTTGGTGGTCTTGTCGAAGGTAAACATTTGGAAGTTGTGGTTGTTTGCTGTTGCTTTTTCCGGCTTGATGTTGGACCTGAGCAGGAAACCAAAAGCTGCACAAAAACTCTTTTCTCTTCACTTTGTTCCACAGCTGCCCAACAACACCCCTGTTGTGCAGGGAACCCCCCCACCCCCCCGCAGCCAATCCAGAAGGCAAAGTGGGCTGTGCTGCCTTTTTTACCTATGGCAGTAGCTGGTGGGGGAGGGGGTAGAAGGAGTTCTCGACCGAGGGCTGGGACAAGTGGATGAGATGCCGCCCCCCCTCCTCCTCCCCCGCCCCCGGGAGACTCACATGGCCATGTCAAACTGCTCCATCCACTTGCGCTTCATCTCTTCGGTCTTGCAGAAGAACTGAAAGCCCTGCTTCCCTTGCAGGTGGGTGAGGTAGAAGCCGTACGACCACTGCGGACGAAGGGGGGGTGACACGGGGGGGTGAGGAGAGGTGCACAGGGGCTGAGCAGTGGATGCCAACACCCTGGAAGCCCCCCCCGCCTGTAATGGGATCATGGCACCCCACCAGGGAAAACCACTTTGCCTGACTGCAGGAGGACGGGGGTGTGTGTGTGTGCGGCGGGACGGAGGCCATCTTGCCCGTCCTGCCGGGGGAGAAGCTCCGGGGTCTGCCCACAACCCTCCACCTCGAGGGGGAAGGAAGCCCTCTGACAAAACCCTGGGGGGGGTGGGGGTGGGGGGGCAGTGGCCCTGACAGGCTGTGGGGTGGGCAGATGAAGGCCCCGCTCCTTTGTCACCGCTGCGGCCAGCCCCACGAGGAGAACAGAGCAAGGGGTGTGGGGCCTGATGGCTTGCATCCAGTTCCCATAAAACTGGTGCTAAGCTCAGGCGGGGTCTCCCATCAAAACTCTGGGGCTGGGGGCTTTCCAGGCCAGAAGAGCTCTCCGGGTTCCCTCGGCCCACCTCGGAGGGCTTGGCGTCAGGCGTGCCATTCCAAGGCATGCCCAGGCCTTCCTGCGCTCAAGAGCGCCACTCTAATAAGGAACAAGTCGGGGGGAAGGAAAAGCAACAACACTGGGGTGTGCAGGGATGGCTCACCGTTTTTCCGTGCAACTGGGAAGCATGGAGGGGGGGGGAGACGCAATCAGTTAAAACGAAGCTCTCGAGTCTGGGTTCTAAGGCAGGATGCCAGTCACCCTCCAGAGCAAGACCCTGAGGACCGCTCTCTCCAGGATCCACCCCCTCCCCCCAAGAACCATTCCCCACCTTTCTCCCTTTCTGGGACCCCTTGAGATGAGCAGATGGACAGGCTGCCTCTCGTGCCCAGAGGGAAGTTGACATTCATCTTGGCTCGCCCTTTGGGACATAGGCTGTCAAACCCAT